AATCAATATCACATTTGCAAACTCCCTTAATAACTATTAAAAATTGTCACCTTATCACGATCTGTGGGCGCACAGAAAATGAGAGCGCATGAGTGAGTTCTCAAGACTCAAAAGCACGTGCAAATGATACGTTCCGTCATCTGTCATCGCGTTATAAGCGCGGAACCTGCGGGAATGAGTAGAATTGTAATTAATAGCCACAATCCCGGGCCGAAATTCAAGTCCTGCTTTGTGTTCTCTGCTAATAACCCGACTGTGAATGATGCGAGCGGCATAACTATGTTGTCACCGAGAAGCTGCAGCCGTGGCCGGGAATGATTTTTGAATCGGGTGCTGTGTGTACATTAATGAGGAAAAAAAATTAACTTAAATGATTTTAGCAAATGGCTGCAATATAACAAAGAGTGAAAAATTTAAGGGGGTCTGAATACTTTCCGTACCCAGTGTATGTTTGTTTTCAAGTACTTTCCAGGCCTTGAATCCATATGTCTGAAATTCAAGTTTCACCAACAAAAAATAATTCCAAACAGTCACAGCACTGTTTTACGTCTCTGAGCAACCTGATGGAATCAACCATTTAAATGATTCGGTTCAATCGCAATGACTCTGTAGGTGTAGGTGACCTACTGGCGGTTTTAATTTCACATTCAAAATATCTTCATTTTTTAAAATAATTTCAAACAGCAGTATTTAATGTTTTATGTTTAAAATATCAAAACATTATTTATGCATTTGTAACTGCAGTTTAAATCATTCCATGTCCCTCCGAGCTGCATTAAACGTGTGTAAATCACTGTGTAAATGCCACTTCAGATGCAACTTCTGCAAAGATGAATTTTGTTCATCCGATTTAATTTGTTTGGTAACAGCCTAAATGTCTTTTTATTAGGGCTGTTCTGATCGATCGTCCAGAGATCGGTATCGGCCGATAATCACATTTCATGACTCGATCGGTACTCACTATTTGGCCGATCGCAATTTGATGACGTCAACGCCTGACCACGTACATGATACGTGGGGACGTAAATGATTTTAAGCCACAGCATTTCCACACCGGCGATGACATGACTATGATGTTTCGAGAAACAATGAAAATTTTGCTATTTGTCGTGTATGTTTTGCATGATGATGAATGGATGGTTCATTTTTAACAGCAGATTCAGTGACGTTAGAGCTGATCTGCGCCTCACTGCACAAGTCTGCGGCACGTTACTTCTCCACGGGAACCGGAGCTGATCGCAGCCGCTCCAGTCAGTGCTTGTGTTTATGCAGCCGCAGCATGTTTCTCTCTTTTGTGAGTTGGCACAGCATGGAGGACGGAACAAAACCTCGTCTGAGCGGTATCGCTGATCGTGGGCTGCTTTTAAATGATAGTTTATTTATAAAACAAAATATATCTTCTTTGGCCTTATTAGCCTACTCAATGGCATTAACACAGGCTTTTCTCCTTTCAAACTTTATCTGGAATGTCACCGTTTCTGTCACTGCAACTTTCCGATCAGGCGAACGAACACGTGCGCGAAATCGTCTGCCTCATGAAAAAAATGTAGTTAATATTTGCATCATTTATGATTTATTTTATCCACCCGCAACCCACCCGCAAATAATCCGAATGCATTTTAAAGCGGGAGAAACAGAGGTTTTCCCGGTAACAGCTGTACACAAACAGGCATATAACATGAAAGATGAAATGAAAATGACATCGAAAATTTTCTAAAGATAGTCTTCCTTCAGAAATACAGTGATATAAAAACACCCGTGCCTCGTTTTGATTTTTAAATGCGCAGTACGTGCTCATGTTTATTCAACGAATCCTTTTGGAAAATCGGTCAGTTTTGATATTGTGGCGAGCGCCACAAATAAATAAATGTATGGGAAACACATCCCACAGCACAACCACCTGAGCCCAACTTCAGTCTACTCATCACCTTAACTTTAACTGCGTTTGTAGCCGGTGCCATAGCCAGACTGATAAACAAACACTGACCGGAAGTTAACTTCGGACTGGGCAAGGCGCGTGCGCCCGATGAAATGGTCTATATAAAGCTTGAAGCATCAAAATCGGTATCGGCCGATCACCATGACAAGAAATCGGTACTCAGTACCGGCTGCAAAAATCCTGATCAGAGCATCCCTACATGTTTTGATTAAATGTAAGAATTTGACTCAAAAGATGCACACTTTTAGAAAAAAAATGGCTTTATAAAAGGTATAAATCTATTTCAACTTAAAAAGATTAATTTCTATTACTTTTGTGAACTGACCACCACACAAAATATGAAGAATATCAAAAACTTTAGGAGTTAGCTGTCCACGGTAGTCCTTAAGATATCAGCGCAATAACACACTCAGCAAAATATCATCTAATTATCGTTATCGAAAACCCCCCCAGAAAATATCGAGATTTGTCAATATCGCACACCCCTACTATTCATTCACTTAACTATGCAAGTAACGAAAAAATACAGATTTGTTTTAGTAATTTGTCTTCTCATCCTCAGAAAAAAACTTTAGTGTTCACTGTATAAATTAATAATAGATTAATCTTCATTAAAGCTGTGTTTTGTTGTTTGGTTAACATTAAGGACTCAGCTGAATGTTTTTATAGGCTGCTGTTTCACCTCTACAAGCGAGTGAACAAAGCAAATCTAGGAAGAGTTTTTATTTCGCTATTCAAGATAGCTTATTGGGCAGGGCGGTGATTTGGTAGTCCGACTGGAAAACACAATACCCTAGAGGTGGCATCTGTTTCACGTAGTGTGTTCCCTTGCTCTGTCTCCAGAAGATAAGATTGTGGTGTGACACTCCCCTTTTTCACAACTGCCTTTGTCCAAGACTTTTGAGTGTCCAGTTTGGTAAGAACTTGATCCCCAGGATATAGGAGAGGTAAGTTTTTAACACCATGATGCTGGTTGTAGTAGTAGGCTTGTTCCTTTTTCTTGGCTGCAACTTTTTTTTAAAAGACTTTTGTGTTTGGCCACTTCGGTAACAGATTTCTGTTGAGGGTAGGTAAGGTTGTGCAAATCTTGCGACCCACACCTGTACTGCTGCATAGAGTGGATCTGTAACACGAGTGCTAGGAGGGGGTCTTTTTGC